ACATGGCCAAGGCAACAAAGGATTGGCTCAAGAAGAAGCATATTAAGGTCATGGAGTGGCCTAGTCAGTCTCCAGACCTTAATCCCATAGAAAATCTGTGGAGGGAGCTGAAGGTTCGAGTTGCCAAACATCAGCCACGAAACATTAATGACTTGGAGAGGATCTGCAAAGAGGAGTGGGTCAAAATCCCCCCTGAGATGTGTGCAAACCTTGTGGCCAACTACAAGAAACGTCTGACCTCTGTGATTGCCAACAAAGGTTTTGCCACCAAGTACTAAAGCATGTTTTACAAAGGGATCAAATACTTATTTCATTCATGAAAATGCAAATTAATGTATAACTTTTTTTTGTAATGCATTTTTCTGGATTTTTTTGTTATTGTTGTGTCTCTCACTGTTCACTTAAACCTACCATTTAAATTGTAGACTGATCATTTCTTTGTTAGTGGGCAAACTTACAAAATCAGCTGGGGTTCAAATCATTTTTTCCCTGACTGTAAATATGTGGTGGGTTTTCTGTTTTTCTGTGTAGCTCGAGGAGCATCGCAGTGATCAGAAACAGCTGAAGGCTTTGCAGAAGAGGTTGCTTCAAGTGATGAAGGAGAAGGACCAGCTGCAGAGCGAGCACAGCCGGGCTGTGCTGGCTCGCAGTAAACTGGAGGGGCTCTGCAGAGAGCTGCAGAGGCACAACAAGACCTTAAAGGTATTTCAGCTTCTGTAATTTCTGTTCATCATATAGTAGTAACCATAGAAGAAAGTAGTATTATTTTAATATATTCTACACAACCTTTTTCAGTCTAGAGAGTCTAGTAAGACTCAGAACAAACTAACACCATAAATGCTTCGCCCCTCCCATCATGCCCTGTAAACTGTACAAAATGCAGGCTCCAATCCAACACCAGTTTTAGCTGACTAACGAGTATGTTTGTCAATCCAGTAGAATGCTCTGGTTACTGCTAATACGACACAAAGCACCAACTTTACACAAAGCGCACATTACTCCCAAATTAAATCAATACTAATGTAAAATTATGACCATGCTGGCTCATTAATTTTAAACATTAGCTTTGGATGCTAATGCATCCAGAAGGAAGAACGCAACATCTCCATTTCAAAAAGCCAAACCAATGTTAACCCCGGGTTTTGCTCTTTTTCAAGTATGGTATCTAACCTAAGCAACTGAACTTTCCATGCTGTTAGTTGTGTTTTGGTGCCGGATGGTGTTGCCATATGCTGTGCTGTTCAAAACTACAGAATGCAGAGATCTTTAACTTACTGTGACATATTTTTGCGAAATGTGAATAAAATAAGGCACATTACTTCAAATAGATTCTTTGGTCGTCCAAAAAAACTCCATTGACTGTAATATATAACAAAAAGCAGCAAATTCTCACACCTGAGAATCTGTAGCAGTATATGTTTGGCAATGTTTGCTTGAAAAAAAGACAGTGAGTCAATTAATTATCAAAATGACTTCTTTAGACTAATTAATAAATAAACTGGACATTTGTTTCATGTCTAGTTTTATACTGACTTTTCTATGAACTATGAAAATGTGAAACTTACAAGAAACTATTTATGCTAGGCCAATTCTAGTGTCTGTATATACATATAATATCTCTAGACTTACAATAAATTGGACAGTCATGGCTGACTTGACTTTTACCCTGTAGTATAGTTGCCAACTGGAGCAGCGTAAAAATTCATGGGCACCCAGGAAGTATATAAAATCAGAGTATGCTCTGATTTTATATACTTCCCAGGTGTCCATGAATACACATATCTTATGCTGTAAACACATCGTTACAATGTAGCTTTAGCTCTAACACCTATCTCTGAAATGCAGGAGGAGACCCTGCAGAGGTGCAGAGAGGACGACCTGAAGAGGAAAGAGATCACCACCCACTTCCAGGGAACACTCAGTGATATTCAGGCCCAAATTGAGGAACACAGCAGCCGCAACACCAAGCTGTGCCAGGAGAACAGTGCTCTTGCAGAGAAAATGAAGGGGCTCATTTCACAATATGACCAGCGAGAGGCGGTAGGGATCATGTACGAAGGAGTCGGGTTTTAACCAGACAGTCACACAATGACAGTTGCGGTATACAGCAAAAAATATCAGAAACCGAATTTGTACTCACAATCTACACACACAGTGTAGAAAAAGCAAGTTGCAACACTTCATTGTGAATATTAATAAACAATGTGATATTTTAGCAGCGATGCTCAGTATTCAGCAGTGGGAACCAGCTGGACTTATGAAACATGACACATATGGGCCTCCTTGCCCATATCAAACCCATGAATTATTTGACAGCTTCTCCCAGGTCTACATTTGTTAGAGTATTTCAGGTGTGTAAAAATACCCCTAGGTAAGACATTAAACAGCTTTCTGTGAGAAAACAACTCATATATTGTACTGAATGTCTTTCAGAACCTAGAAAAGGTGTTCAAACACAGAGACCTGAAAGAAAAGCTGTTGGAAACTAAACTCGCACATGCAAACATAATTCTGAAGGAGGAAGAGGAGAAGCACAAGCTGGAAAAAGAACATGTATGTTTTGTATATCAGACTTGTTGAGTACTACAATAATTGTAATAAACCCATTTACAATAATACTGATTTTCATGGAACATCTCAATATTCCACAGCTGCTAAAAATTGTGGAAGAGTATAAATTGCAAGTGAAGGTCATGAAGGAGCAAGAAACTGATATGCAGAGCCAGGTAAAATGACAGGACATTATGGGCAAAATTGGTTTGTTTTTCTACCTGTCTAGAGGCATATATAATGTTTTTCTCACCATCTCTCCTCAGCTCGACATATACTCCCAGAAATTTGATGAATTCAAAGGCACGGTATCAAAAAGCAACAGTGTCTACAGCAGCTTCAAACAGGACATGGACAAAGTAAGAAAGGTTTTACAGGATATTTGAAGTCAACCTTAAAAAAATGAATATATTATTTAGGTTCTTTTTTTTTGGTAGATTGCCAAGAAAATGAAAAAGCTGGAGAAGGAGTGCCAGTCATGGAAGAATCGCTTTGATGGCTGTAACAAGAGTCTCGTTGACATGGTAGCAGATGTAAGAAACCGTTTTCTTTAGTCATTTTTAGCCTAATACAATAACTGCAACAAATGCAGGGCCAGCATGTTTCACCAATATGTTATGCACATTTCAATCCTCAACAGAAAGCAATCAAGGAAAAGGAGTTTGAACTTGTGATCATCAAGAACCAGAAGCTTGAGAATCTGTGCAGGGCTTTGCAAGAAGAGAGGAAGAGTCTTTATGAAAAGGTGCAGGGAGCTGGAAGTCCACCGGATGTCAACACTGAACAAACAGAAAAGGTCCTTGAGATGCAGGAGACCCCGAAAAACCCTAACAATGAGCACCTCATCCAGAATACCACAGCCCCTGCTGCTGCCCACGCTGGGACCCTGATGCTTGAAACACCACTGACCAAGGAACTGGCTAAATTGAAAGCTGAGCAAGCCCGGCTGAAGGACATTGCAGGTTCTTTCACAATTTCCCATGTTATACCCACAGAAACAGTCATTAGCCAATCACAAGAACTCTCCGAGGATGTCCAGGACTCAGAGAAAAACCACACAGAAGACAGCAATGGTGAACACCTCCAGGGTGTTGAGGACGGATACCAAGAACAGATAAATTTGGAAATGGAGTCAGTTGATTAATGCTGAAAGTACTGTGAAAAAGAAACGTGGTTCATGTGAGATTCATAGCAATAAAAAGAAAAGTGCTGGCTTCATGTTCAGTGTCTGATTCTGATTCTGTTGAGATTTATGAGGAGGTTCATTTTAGTGCCTGCAACAGGCCAAATACAAGAAGCAGCTTTATGCTAAAAGTTTTGACACCCTTCCTTATTATCTACATACAGACTGACAGAGCTGCAAAGTGAAGGAGCCATTTCAAGGTTCCTGCTTTCCAGACTACAATCCATTTCTGCATAAACAATAACTTACTTCCATGGCTCTCCTGGTCGATCATAAAGCTTTTTTTTTTTAAGCTGAAGGTAGAAGACTGTCAATTAAGTATGGGGCGATATGACTTTTTCTTGATGCAAGTCGATGCACGATATAGATCGCTAGACAAAATGATAGTGACATTTTTATACTGCAATATGTGAATTTTAATATATTGTCCCATCTCTAGTATCTATATTAAAAATGTAAGGTGTGAACAACCCCTACAGCATGTTGCTGTGTGATCCTAACTGCAGGCAGAAGATATAAAGACTATATTGTTGAGAAGGCTGAAATCACAAACTGAAGCTTAAAACTAATCACACTTTTTGTTTCTTCATTGGACATAAAGAGAAAGCAGAGGTTGTTTTACTGTGGCGCAGTGATACGAAGTTGGAACTACAGATCTACATTCAAACAGAAAATGGTTGAAGGAGCAGAGTCAAATGCAGACTCTTGTATAAAAGCTTTCACAGCTCTTGCTGAAAATGGAAAAGCTCTGCTGGACCTCACCGAGGAGAGCAAAGAAAGTAGGCAGCATTTTGTGAGTCCAGACAAGTGCACATAAAAAACAGACGTGCAGACACAGTGTTCTGCTGTTGGCAGGCGATTCATGATCGTACCATGAGTGGGGGCAGCAGGAGGCCTGTCAATCATTCAACACAAAGAATGAACCCAAACAGACTCTCACACACTAACTTCATGTAATTTACTTCACATAGACTCACTCCATGAATTCATCTGGCACAGAATCCACACTGAACACCAACCGTCACTACCGAGTCTGACTGAAGCTGCTGCAGCTTTGTACACAAGGTTCTGAGCTTTTCTTCATTTTACTACTAATGTAATAATATAGTTTTTTAAAGTACATAAGACTTATGAACCTCATAATATCACAGGATCACCCTTCCACCTAGATATGCAAAGATGAGTTGCATTTCTAATTTCACAGTTTCTCTGTTAAGAGGAGATAAGATGACTAAAAGCTAAATACCTACAGTATATATGGACAGCTTCTTATTGAAGCATTAAGTCCTATTGTCCCTGAGCTTTGTACCAACAATTGCCAAACTAAATTTCTTTGGACTAAAGAGGAGACGCTGAATGACAAGAACGGATTAGTTTCCCTGGTCATCTAAAACTTTTATTTTTATAGCTTCCAAACAGGACCTAGACTCACTCAGGGCACAGAACTGAACAAAATCTGCTGAAGGGCTGATTTTGCAAGAATTCCCTCAGTCCCTATATAACGAGGTACCCTAAACACCACGCTGCATGATGCTTCCAGATGTGTTCTTTTGAAGGGCATTGCACATTACTTACAGCAACCCAGAAACAAACAAACAAAAAGAAAACTCAAAATATATCCAGCTGAACCCTTTTATTCTTACCGAGTGTGGCTGATATAACACAGGTGCAGTGGGATGCCTTTCTACTGATTTGGATGATGAGCTACTGTACAGCTAAGGGCTAAAATGCAGACCAGCAGTGAAAATGTATTTCATCAGATGCACCTCTCATCGATGCCAGAACAGAAGAGTGTAATTTATCTTTATGCACTCAATCTTAAGAAACACAAGACTGTATATCTGTCAAAACCTTTGTGTTGGTGTTAGGGTTATTAATGTTTCTGTGTTTTGTAAATCAGTGACATTGGGGAAGAGGTAAAAAGATCATGCTGGTGTTACTCTGCAGTCGACATATTAAAGATATGAAGAAGACTCAGGTAAATATGACACTATAATGTTATAATGTTTAGTTTTCATGAATCCACAAATAAATATCATTCGACTCTCCAGTTCTGCTCAACTTCACCATTTAGCAACTTTCAGCTCGTATTTTGGTTTTAGGAGCCTAATGCACATATTGTGCAATAAATAATAGAATTCATCTTAGTTATCTGCATTCATAAACCAAACTTTACATCGTCTAACAAAATGAGTTTTACTTTCATGATAGAAAATATTTTCCAAAAGATGCATTTATTTTTAATTACAATGTGAAAATATATAGCTTGTATTTCCAGGGGTTCTGGAATAACAAGGTATTAAAGAATATATTTGGCCATTTTCTATATACCTACTGATGTTTGAGCATAATAGGGAAGACAAATGTAAATAAATAAATAAAGCAGATAAGTGTTACTAACACTACAGGAAGAAAGTGTCAGGAGGGGGAAAGATGACAGGAAAGGTGCAAGAAAAGGTGCCAGTCTGTAATGTTTGTGGGACATAAAGTATATGCTCATAAATCTAAGATTTACGATTTGGCAGGTGCAGCAGAAAGGTACATACTTTTATCTTTTCTATGTTATTCTTGTATATGTGTGCGTTCTGACAGGGAGAAAGACAAGTGAAAGGATACAGAGGAAAATAGCCTGATTGTACAATTGAAGCCATGGAGAACTGTAACATTACTGGGTTATTTTTAAAAGTGTTGCGTTTACAATACACTTGGTGTCCTACTAGAATCTGCTCATTAGATTTACAGCCAGTGAATAGTACTGCAAAATGTACTGCAGTGGTTGTTACTGCAGGCTTGTGTTACATAAGATATTCTGAGAACTTTGAAGGTGTTAACTACATTATTGCACTATGAAAAGATGCAACACAGAAGGTGTTAGAAAATTAAATGGGCAGATCCAAACCTTTGCAACCTCACACCTCAACAATGCTTATTTTCACCAGGGCATTTATAGTAAGACTGAGGATCTTAGATCACTTTACACTTTGGAAGTTTGGTGGATGAATCTTAAATAGCATAAAGGTCTCATATAGCTGAGCCACAGTTTTACTGAACAGCAGAAGAACAGTTATTTTGTTTGCTGTATATTTGTTATTTAGCCAAATCTATCAGTCAAAAGAAATGCTTTGATTTTTCATGTATCAAGGTCAAATAGTGCCACCATGTGGTCAATTATAAATCATTTACAGCTTGTCTCTTATAGGATGAGTCTGATATTTTATATTCTCTTCTTGTCAAGCAATCCCATGAAAAACTCAAAACTAACAATGAATTGATCCTATTATTGCCAGTGTAGCCAAAGCCTACTGTGCCTTATTTCTCTGTACTTATTATTGGTTTCATTCTTGTTCCCGGTCCCAGGCACCACCTTTCAATGACATGACAAGTCATCAATGACTGCAGTTTGTGATTTGTCAGGTACCGGTATGTAAATAGTAAATGAACTTCTACTTACATAGTGCTTTTCTACACACTCAAAGCGCTTCACAGTAGTTACCTATTCATCCCATTCACATACACACTCACTGATTCATCCCATTCACATACACACTCACTGATAGCAAGGGCAACCATTCCACTGTCTTGCACAAGGACACTTTTATGTGTGGACCTGATAAGCCGGGGATCAAACTCCCAGCCCTACAGTCAGGACAACCTGCCCTACCACCTGCCCTTAGTCTAATCTGTCACACCACATGTCCAAGTAAGGGCAAGAATTGATGACATAATTATGTAACAGTGACAATCTTAAGAGACAACCTAGCATAACTCAGGAGTCCCAGGGAATTTAGGTATCTAGCCGGAGCACCCGGAGAGAACCTACGCAGGCACAGGGAGCACATGCAGACTCCGCACAGAAGGGCATTGGGTCGCCCGGGGCTAAAACCCGGAACCTTCTTGCAGTGAGGTGACACAGCCGAGTTCTTTCTACTTAAAAAATGTATATAAACAGAATTATGTTGCTGGGCTCTGACCTTGCATCACATGGATCATCATGACAGAAAGTGTAATACATTTTTCCCCCTGACAGGCGTCTCCTCTGCATTTTCAAGCATCCAGACAACAATATCATCGATTGTTCAGGTTTTTACTGGTATACTACAGATTCAACCAAGGGACAGACAGACTGTGTTAAGGCTTTTGTTCCATTGTACTGTGAGTTTACCTCGAAAGCTTTGGAGCAGCTAACAAAAGCTGCCCCACATACATAATGCTGACTGAATGGGAGGATATAACTATAAACTGTGAGAAGTGGGATTCCTTCATGCATAAATATCTGTGTCAAAAAGGATGGAAATCTCTCATGGTAACAACTTCTGCAGTGTGATTAAAATATATTATAAATGGTTAAATACATGTAAATGCACTAGCAAAACATGCACGAAGGGATGGCAAATAAAGAGAAAATGATAGATTAAATGTGACTATAAAATGAGAATTATTTGCCTGTGGTGGATATATGGTTAGGAAACGGTTTGTCTGACATAACGAGGATCCACTGACCCGTTAAACGAGAACAGAGGGGTGGGGGGCCTGGAGGAGAGAAGTGAATGTGGGGATGAAGTAGGCAATTAGAATTCACTGCACAGTACAGTGAGTTTCTAACTAATGGGGGAACAGATTAAAAAAGGGGTGGGGTGTTAATAGATAGGCCCAGGACAAAGAAGAAAATCTGCATCAGTCGGTCTGATAAGAACTTTGAGCTTAATTTGTGAAAATGCCAGAGGAGGAAGAGCGAGAAAAGTTAGCCAAAGTTATCACACAGTGGAATAACAACAGACTGGACCTGTTTGAAATAAGCCAACCTGATGAGGTGAGTCGCTTGCAGTTTGGATTAACCCTCATTCTCTCCGTGTCTGGTAAACATAGGAAGCACTACAACACTGGTTTCTTTTTCCCCAGCAGAACCTGGAGTTTCATGGCGTGATCCGCTTCTACTTTGAGGATCATGCTGGAGGAAATATGGCTACAACGTGCCTTCGTGTTTGCAGCAACTCTTCCGCTCATGAGCTCATCCAAACGCTTTCAGAAAAATTCAGGCCTGATGTGCAAATGCTGACTAGTTACTCTCTGTACGAGATCCACACCAATAAGGGTAAGAGCTGGAGTCAGGGTACCAAAGTTAAACAACAATCAGTTACAGTCTGGCTCGTTGTTGTGTCTTTGATGTGACTTCCAGTCACTAAATTATCATACGATATGCATAAAGGACATGCAATTATATTTTGTTGAAAGCTTATACAATTAGTCAAATATTGAATCTAAAGAAAATTAATTTATACTAATCTTATTAATTGCTCTGTTTTCAAGCAAAAAAACTAAGAAAAGACTTCACAAAATGTGAAGATATCATACTTTAGTGTCTTTTAAATTTAAATAGAAGTGAATTTATGAATGATTAATCAATTTTGATAATCATTTAAGTCATTTTTCAAACAAAAATAATGAAAAAGGTGCAAACTATTCTTTGGTTCAAGCTTCTAACAAGGAATTGTCTTTGTCACATCATTTAAACAGAGTATCTTTGGATTTGTGCTCTGGTAGACATTTTAATAATTGTTCTGGGAAATAGTGATGGCTGTTTTTTCCACAGTTTTTCTACATTTCATAAACTGAACAATTAAAGAAAAAAAAGCCAAATTAACTGACATGTGCTGATTATCTTTCAAGATGTCATGTTAAACTTCTAATTGCTGTTTTTCCATGGCATGTTACACACAACGTGACTAACTGAAAAAGTATTAGGCAGATTAAACTCTAATGAAAATAACTTAATTGAACTCTTTTTCAGTTAAACAATTCATGTAGCACCAGTGAGTATATCAAAAATATATGTCTACACTTAAGTCAATCGCTATGATGCTATGTAGTCACTGCTCATTTAGGCTGTTAACATGCATACTCTGACCATTTTTGTGTTTCATATGTGGATTAGGACGCAAGTTGGATATGGATGAAAGACCTTTGGTTGTGCAGTTAAACTGGAACTCAGACAACAGAGAAGGATGTTTTGTGCTCATGAAAAACAAGCAGAATTTTCAGGTATCCTCAATCTATTGTACTTATATAAGAGTCATAACTGGACTCATCAAGTTGTTGTTTGACAGTTGTATGATATTTTAACCTGCACTTTCACATATTCACTCACATAATATCTCATGCTCCTTTTGAACAATAAAGGAAAACTGGCATGAGAAGGAAAAAGGAGGCCTGATTCAAACCTTCAAGAGCAGACTATTGAAAAAAGAAAAGAAAAACAAAACCAAAGTTGTTGACAGGGTTTCAGAAGATGAGCAAAGGTAAAATGCTTCAATTCAGTAATTATTCTTTTAGACTACTGGCCCCAGGCCTAATTTGCTTGACTCTCAGAATTACATCCAACAATTTTAAACAAATACCCAGGTCAACTGAAAAGCCACTGAACAGTGTTTGTGACCATGAGACAAAAGAGGGGTGCACACAGAAAAAGCAACAGAGCCAGGCTTCCCTCGGTGAGTAATCTGCAGATTGTAAAAGAATAGAAATGATAATGAAAACTACAGTGTAATGCATAAACAAGACCATGTAACAGTACATGCATATTTACTTTTAATCAGTGAGGACTATATTTTATAACATTATCAGCATAATTCAAGAGTAAAGCACTCTGTGTTTTCATCCTGACTTTTCAGATCAACCTGGGTTACCAGTTGGGATTATGTTCTGTGACAACTGTGAGTAGGAGACAGAGTTTAAGATATTTGTCTACTTTCATACTTATCAGTTATAAGCTCACTGGCTGTCCCTCTCATAATGTCCTCCTGCCCCCTGCTGGTGTTTTTTACATTTTAGTGGAGGAAGCCTTCCTGTCTGCAGTCATAAATTACGCCAGCAGCTCCACACTTCATTTCAAGCTCTCACCTGCATATGCCCTCTATGCTGCGGGACGCTTCGCTCTGCAACGCCATTACAAGCGAAGCCCTCCGCCATTAGGACATCCGCACAGTGTAGCCTTGATCACAAACAAAATGGTGGCTATGACAGGGAAGGTCATCCAGGCAAGTCCATGAAACTGGATAAATGGCCTAGTTTATAAGCAAACTGAGATACTGTTTAAACCAAGTGCTGCTGACAATCACAATATGACAAAAACATCTGTCAGATGTTCTGACAGTTTACACGACCTTGCTATATTTACCTTTCAGAGGCAGCAGACCATGGCCGGGGCTCTCTCCTTTTGGATGGCCAACTCTGCTGAGCTGCTAAACTTCTTCAAGCATGACAAAGACCTCAGCCCACTCACACAGCAAAGCCAGCTGGATCTATCCCACCTGGTGCACAAATCTTACAGGTAGACTACAACACATGGCAGGAATTTCAGTGTTTTAATGCATTTGGATTCAAACTGAAACTGCACCACACACTCAACAGATCACCTAAGACCAAAGGAGTCAAAAAAGTCACTGGACTAAAAACAAGTAACCAGAAATGCACCTGAAATTACATCTGAACCTGCTCACCGTGCTCCACACCTATTCATGCCTTTACGATCTGAGAGGCACGGCATGTCTCTTTCCACCAAATCAAACTGATTTAAAAATATGTTATTTCTCACTGCAACTCCCAAACCCCAACCGCACAGTTTACACAAGCAATTTAGCTATTGATCAGTTATTTGTCAGGTTTTTTTTCCAGTGATGCATATTTTTAAAGACTGAACTACCCCAAAAATAATTGACAAATTAAAATAATTGTTAGTGCAGCCCAAGATTACTGTTTATTGCATGATGATGTGCGATTCTAAGAAATGTTGACATAGTGTGAATTTAGCCTAACAGAGTTAATGGCTTGTTAGCTAAAGGCTACATTTCTATTTTTATTGTGCATTTTATTCCTTCCTAGTCACCTGCTACAATGTCTACAGAATGAGTTATTGAAGCACTTGCCAAAATTTCTGACTGATCCTGGGCAACAGGGTCCTCTGCCGGCTGGTATAGGTAAATATTCATTATTCAGACACTAAACCAACAATGATTTTATTCAATACACCATGCAGTTGGTGACCCTCGGCAGAGTTGTGATGCTGTAAGGCATTAGGTGCCTGTTATTAAATGCTATACTCTATCTTGCTTGTCACAGAGATGGTGCTGAATACGTTGATGAACACCATGTCTCTGTTACGCCACTGTCGGGTCAACCCTGCCCTCACCATCCAGCTCTTCTCCCAGCTCTTCCATTTCATTAGTGCCTGGCTCTTCAACCAGCTGATAAGCCCAGAGGCCAACACCCCAGGCCTGCGCTCCCACTACTGGGGAGCTACTCTCCGCCAGAAGCTCACCGCCATTGAAGCCTGGGCAGAGAGGCAAGGCCTGGAATTGGCTGCCGACTGCCACCTGGGACATATCATACAGGTCTGATGTAATTCATTTCTAAATTCCTGGGGTTTCACGAAAGGTCATATACAAAAAAAAATAAATCATGCACCAAAAACAAAATCAAATTGTCTTTTCAAATTGTACATTTTCTCATGTATAAGTACACTGACCAGCCACAACATTAAAACTGTTGACAGGTGAAGTGAACAACCTACATTTTCTTGTTACAGTGGCACCTGTCAAAGGGTGGAATATATTAGGTAAGACATATTTTAAGAGAAATTCTGTGAACTTTCTATTCTGGAGGCAGAAGCTGGTCAAACCTAAAGTTAAAATATTTGGCAGTCCAAATACAGTCAGTTACAAAAAGGAAAAACACATCAGTTGAACATGCATGAAAACAGAAGCTTCAATTTTATATTCATTATATTAGGTTTTTGCAATACATTTCTGAATGTGCTGGTGCTTTGCTATTTTTCTATCCGGTTTTATTCAGTGTCAGAGCGTATATTTGATGTTTCAGTCAGTACAAATGGTTAAAATAGCATTTCCTGGCTGTTTCCAGGCAACTGCACTGCTGACCATGAATAAGTACTCAATGCACCATGCCAAGGACATCCAAAAAACCTGTTTCAAGTTGAACTCAATGCAGCTGCAGACATTACTATCCACCTACCTCTATGCAGCCACTGAGCCTTGCATCCCCCATGTGAGTACTTTCAGGCTGTTCTTCAGTCATCAAGCTTCAGTTGTCCTTCTTGTCTGTAACTAAAATTATGATGCTGAATTTTAACAAGAGGAAGAGACTGTAGAAGTAACAGTTACCATTACTCCAATTCACAAAGAAATTTTCACAAATTCACAAATTTTTATGTAAATATAGAGAATCCACAGAGAAGATATTTGGGCATATTTAGTATCGATCAACAGTGCATATCGGATGACCAGTATATAAAATTAAGAATTAAACACTGAAACACAAAGCATGAAAGCAGGTCGTAACGTACAGTATAAACTTACTTTAACCCTGACACAAATTGCTTCTACATGGTCTCATATTTACTCCACCCACACAAATGCAGTATCAGGGGTTTGGCCAGCAGATGTCGGCACTTTAGACCCATTTTCAATAAACTAGCTTTATATTTAAGTCACTGCTTCAGAAAGCTTCCTTTAATCCATCACTACATTGAGCAAGCAGCCGTTAGCACCCTATCAAGTTTATCATTAGCCAAACACGAAAACACCTACAGCTGCAAGCCACAAATACTTACATTATTAAAGTAAAGCAGTCGCGGTTACAGGCTGTCGACAGCAGCACGGGAAATCGACCAGCCGTTTGTGGCATCGGTATCAAGCTGGATAGCAATCATAAGTTCATGAAAAGGAAGGAAAAGCGCAACGGCCAACCGTGGTAGCCCCAGTGAGCGGTGCTTTATCTGTTTAACTTTCCCGCCTTTACTAAAAACCTATCGGGACGGTCCACACTCCGCCCAGCAGGTGGCGGTAATGCACTTTAAGTTGGCTTGCAAACCGCCGTCATCATCATAAGAAGAAAACCTATCGGGTTTGTTAGATTTTCAGTCACGGGTCTATCAGCCTGGCTTTGTTTTATTACAGTAAATGCACACCGCGAGATACTAATACTAGTACAGCTGAGTTAAACCTCCAAAATATTAATAGCTATAGTAATAGGCTATTCAACTTTACTTTTCAGGGAACTGTTTCTACTGCTGTTACCATAACAACAGTTGCTACTGCCATCACCATGACAACTGCCACTCCTGCTGTTACCATTGATGAATAGTACATCTAGTGCTTTTATGATATTATCAGTACTGTAATCAACTACATATATCCCTACAGCTTCTGCTACTAGTAAAACTGGTGCTACTGTGCTACTGCTACCACAAGATGTAAGAAAAGTAGAAATATTCATTTACAACTGAAAGTCCTGCATTCAAAATCTTGCTCAAGTGAACCAAGAATTATCAACAAAATGTGTGGAAAGTATCACAAGGGAAAGTACTCTTTATGCAGCAGTACTAATATTGTATAGCTACTGGTGAATTATGCATTTGTGTGGTGAAAATTTAACTACATACTAGTTTCACTGATAAATTATTTATAAGCTGAATATACTACAGGCATTGTATGTTAATCTTCAAACTATAGCTGTCAAATAAACATCAATATTTACAGCAAGACAATATTTTATGAAATGTTGTAGAATAGCCTAATGTAGCCTATATATAGAATAAACCAAATATTGAATTGTGTACTTCAAAATTATACTTCAGTACATGAAAAAATGTATTGATTATATTCAGCTAATAAAACTATATCACTGCTGTAACTGAAACTACTACACTACTGTACTTGTACTAAAACAACTGCCTCTACAGCTAAAACCAGCATCACTGCAACTTAATCATTATAGCACCATTATTATAACTACTTTGATGATATGGTGTACTTAAACATATATCTCCGGTGATGTCAGAGGTGAGGGTCAGCTGTAGCCAGGTCTTCAGTATTTTGCTCAAGGTCATGGGAGGCAGACTGGATTTCCCTCCTCTGAAGCCTTGTCACAGGATGAAAAATACTAGTCTAGGTACTAGAATGACCTTTCCTTGAAATATTTATATCGTCAGATTAATTTGTCATCCTCACTGCAGGATTTGATTGATGCTGTAGTGACAGCTGCAGAGGCCTCAGCAGATAACCTGATTCGGAGTGAAGGACGGGGCATCCAGATAGAGGAGAGCCTCGACCTACACCTGCCCTTCCTGCTGCCAAAGGAAGGATACTCCTGTGACACTGTGAGAGGAATCCCTCCAGGGTTTAAAGAGTTTTTAGAGCCAATTTTCCAAAAAGGTATGGAACTCTAAAATGTGAAAATAAAATCTCAGGGTTGTGTTGTATTTAGTATAAACGCACCTGAATTATGGGTTCTTTATTCCATATTTGTATTATATGACATGCTTCTCTTCCAGGTCTCTGCTCTTTAACATACCAGCTGAACTCCAAGGGTGACTGGACTGTGTACTTCAGTGAACCTACACCCTCTGCAGAGAGCTCTTACTTGGTAAACAAAATCAAAGATTACTCTATGTTCTATGTTCCAGATGTGCTGACATAATTTAATTTCAAGATAAAATCAAGCACCTATGCAGGACATTTCATTTATATTTTCTTCAACAGGCAGCACACAGAGAGCCAGAGATGGTGACTATCACACTGAACAAACCTGTGAACAATAGGATGGGGGTCAGCATTGTGGCTGCCAAGGTGATCGTCTCCATTTTGACCAGAGATTTTATCCTAATTTTGATGTGCTCACAAACTGGAACCATCTGGCAGATGTCTCAGCTAATTAACGTCCTCCTCTTATTTTGCCACAGGGAGCAGGGCAGGGTAACCTTGGGATTTATATCAAATCTATTGTCAAGGGAGGACCAGCTGAAATGGTGAGATCTATCACAATTTTGATTCAGTTGAACTGGAAATGTGAAAAATGTATCTAATCAAATTATACAAGGAAAGACTGAAATAGATCTTGTATATCTCTACTCGGTGCAGACTGGCAGGTTAACAGTCGGGGACCAACTGCTCAGTGTGGATGGTCAAAGCCTGATTGGCCTCAGCCAAGAAAGGTAGCTACATAACAGTGTTATCCAAATATTGAATGTCCAATGAAAGGTATTTCTTCAGCTAATGTAATGAAACTGGTACTAAGTTTATAGAAGTGTAATCTCTATTGTCAAAACTTATCCAACATGAAAGAGCTCAGCGTTTTAGTTCTAGATCAAGACCCATGTCATCCAATTCAGATCATGAGACTGATTATACAGTCTCCCCACGTTTGCAAGGTCAATGGCAAGCTTGCTTCGCTAACCGTTTAATAAAGCAATCAACTGGAGAAATAATTTTATTATCTGATAGGGCGGCAGCTATCATGATGCAAACCGGCCCCGACGTGACCTTACGTGTTGCAAAGTTTGCAGCAAGCTACCATGGCCTGGGGGCTCTGCTGAGAGAACCAGCTCCAGATGGGAATACAGGTAAGAACCCAATATGTTAAACCAGCATTTTTCAATTTGTCCTTCATGTCCTAATTAAGATATTTTCTTGCTTGACAAGGAGATATACACGATGCCAAGTCAAACAGTAAAGCACTCATGCTGTACAGTGCTGTGGATCCTGGTCCCTCTGAAAAGCTCCACGAAAGCAGCCAGAAAAAGAAAGACCAGATAAAGCAGAGAAACAGGCAATTTTATCACTCCAACCCCAACATGACCAGTGGGTACACTTCTCTTCTGATTACTTATCACTGCTGGGCACAAACAGTACATGTCTTCATGTGAAATACTGTGCGTTTATTGCTTGTGGGTGAGTCATACGAACAACAGCGGTGTATTTATTCTCTCCCTATTTCAGCAGACGTCAGCCTGGTGGACGGAGGTGAACCTGCCGACCCTGCTGTGAGGGGGAACAACGTTGCTGCCGTTTCCAGTATCAACCTTTGCACTGATGTGAGATTTTTCTAGATTTCGCCGATAGGAGATCTTGTTTTTAAGTAGAGGGTGAACACTTACAGGAAGTAGACATGAAGGATCTTTTATTGATTCTGACAACAGAAAATGTTTCTCTCTAACAATATTGCTCTATATTGTTTTACAATTTTCCCATATTTCTGTGTAAAAATGCATTATTTCTTTTTTGCCATGGTCTTTCATAGGCATTTGCGGAAAGGTCTGAATTTTAATTAAAAACGTTCCCAATGTTTTTTGAAAGTACATTTAGTTTTTGTAGGAGGAAAAAAAAAGATGCTTAAATCATTCAGCTGCATTAAAGAAATGTCAGGTATACACCCAAGTGGAAAGAAATACTGTATAGTTACAAAATGTGCTGATTTTGTGACACAAAAGGGCCCATTTGTTTACTTTTTTCCCCTCTATTCAGACATTTCACAGGGAGTATTTGACACTACCAACCCCTGAATCCCAGGATAAGAACATATCTAGCTCTAGTCAACCACAGGAAACATCCAGACAGCGCTCCAGTAAGATGACTTTCATGGTAAGTCTGTAAATACCCTTATGGCACCATACAAAAAAAAAAAAATTAAAATTTGGATATTGTTTATAAATGCTACAATAATTTGTATTTACCCCTCCAGCATCAAGCCCTCTCACAGGAGAGCTTCTGTTTGGACAGTGGATGCCCCCTACTGGACAAAAGGCAGAAGATGTGGGAGCAGCAGGACTGGAGTGCAAAGCAAATCATGACCGCTTATCCGTCTTTCCCATTTCACTCAAGTACTTCCACTCACAACATCCTCTCTGATAACAATTCTCACACAAATCGCCAGCAATGGTCTCGTACAAGTGGCACCGGTGTCTCAAAAACCCCTTTTTCACATCATCCAACACCTACACCTTCAATCCAGCCGATACGCATCAACATCCCTGTAACCAGAGCAATGAAGACCCAGTTAAAAGCTCCACTCACCACCTTCCAGAGCTCATCTTTGCTGGCAGTAAAGATGAGTCAACCTCTCAGAGTTAATGGACATAACCAAAGTCCACAAAACCAGGATAATTGTATTCATGCATGCCACGTTTCTTCAACTGAAAAGCCACCCCAGCCCTTGTTTTCATCACAGCAACAAACACCCAGCACATGCAGGGGGCAAGCAGCAAAATCCCAAGCAAGCATTACTCCAACTAAACATGCTTCTTTCCAAGAACCTTACAGTCAACAGAAGAAGGGTACAGGTCCTAGGAAGCAAAAAGACCCCCAGGAGCTGCCTGACCCATGGAGGAGGGGGGCTCAGGAGAAGCAGCAGAGGCTTCGGGAGATGGAGCTCTTGGAGCAGGAGGTGCAGGAGCTTCCGGCTAAAGCAAAGCATTCATCAGAGGAGAACGACCGACTCCGCAAACTCCACCTGGAGTGGCAGTTTCAGAAAAGACTGCATGAAATTCAGAGAAGTGGAGAGGATGAGGAGGAAGATGAGGATTTCAACATGATGGTGATGATACAGCAACTGGAGACAAGAGCACAGGTGAAACATATGGTAAATGGACTGTATTTTATATAGCGCTTTCTCACAGTGTGTTGCACTGGCCAAAGCACTTTACAGAAGATCATACACCATTCACCCACAACATTCACACACCGATGACAACAGGCTGCCATGCACCGGCGCTAGTCAAGCCACCGGGAGCAATTCGGGGGTTCAGTGTCTTGCTCAGGGACACTTAGGCATGCGGGGAGACCGGGAGTTGACTGCCCTACCTCATGAGCCACAGCCACCCCACCTCATATGTCGCAGGCCTTAGACGTACTACAACATAGTTAAGTAAAACAGCTGTCTAGGCCCAGTAGATTTTGCAAACCAGTTTTGCCAGTAGATTAGTCACTTTGAAAGAAAGTGAATGAAGCATGCAGCCACAAAAATGTTTGTGCCAAATACAGTATATCATATGAACATTTTATTTACGACTCAACACTAGGTAAAATACGATTATGGTGTCTCACGCACTGGTATTATCATATGGGTTACATTAAAACATTGCCTATGAATTCTTATTCCATACTTGTATTAAATATATATATATATAAATCTATTTAAGCATGCAGCCACAAAAATGTTTGTGCCAAATACAGTATATCATATGAACATTTTATTTACGACTCAACACTAGGTAAAATACGATTATGGTGTCTCACGCACTGGTATTATCATATGGGTTACATTAAAACATTGCCTATGAATTCTTATTCCATACTTGTATTAAATATATATATATATAAATCTTTTTACAATGATATCATGCATGTAAGACTTTTCCTAACCTAAAAAAGATGTTGTAATATGTCAAAACATATTTTACATTGTATAAAAACACTGAAAATGTTATCAATAACTTACATAAATGAGTGACCACAGCATCTTTTAAAGTTATGTTTAAAATGTTTTAATAAACTTCCAACAAAGGAATAGCTCTATGAAAACTACAGAGAAATATGAATAATATATGCAACCTTTAAAAAGCCACAATGACCTATATTTAATTATTTATTTTTGTTCTCCATCTTTAGAGCAACAAAAGCTCTGGAGGAAATGTCAACAGCGAACCAAAAGAGGTGGAACAGCAGGAAGTAACTTGCCTCTCCGAGACAGAAAACAGAGCAGAAACAGGTACCTGTTCGCTAAACACATAAATAATTGCCATTTCATTTAATCAATTTATATGATTTTCATTTCCACGTTTTTGGCAGATCACAGATCAAGTGGACTGACTCGAGCTGTTCACAACATGGCGTCAAAAGAGTGAGTCGACATTTTTTTGGCAACTGAAGCATAAAATAGAAGTTCAATCAAATCTTACAAGCGTCTGAACTATTAATACAGCACTTCTACTCATGATGACACAAAAATGTCCATGCGCTGTTGTGTGCTATCATAATAATCTTCTGATATTTGTCTATTCCGCTTCATCAAACAATAAGATATTTTAATCATTTGTTTTTTCATTTGTTACCCTAACCCTTTACCAGTGTTTGAGAGGAGTCCCTGAGTAAAATCTGCAAACTACACTTTATAAAAATATTTTAAAACTGCCCAAGCTGCTGTTTGTGTCCCCATAAATGCTCCCACATGAGCAATACAATTCAAGTATTCCATCTAATATAATAGTCTATTTGCAGAAACCAGGAGGAGAAAACCAAGAGAGTGTCAGCTCCTGAAAAGCTCCCATTCAAGGAGCACCAGCCCCTCCTTTTCTCTGATGTCCAGTGCATAAATGGAGGTTAAAGCCTTGTAAACAGAAGAGGAACGTGTATATACACTCACCAGCCACCTTTTTAGGCACACTTGTACAACTGTATGCGCTTCAATGCAACATCTCCGCCTTAACATCCGTTTATAAAGCTCAAAATGTTTCAGTTTTTGGTGAAATTGTCACAAATATATAAATTAAATGATATGTTTATTATAAAGGTGGTGTTATACTGGACTACATTATAATATAACAATAGAGAGACACCTCTGAACATAAGTACAACTGTATGCGCTTCAATGCAACATCTCCGCCTTAACATCCGTTTATAAAGCTCAAAATGTTTCAGTTTTTGGTGAAATTGTCACAAATATATAAATTAAATGATATGTTTATTATAAAGGTGGTGTTATACTGGACTACATTATAATATAACAATAGAGAGACACCTCTGAACATAATGAAATCCAGTACAACACCACCTTTAACTATGACCTCAATAATAAACATATAATTTATATATTTATGACAATTTCACCAAAAACAAACATTCTGAGCTTCCTAAACACAGATGTTAAGGTGGAAGTGTTGCATTGAATCACATACAGTTGTACCTACAGTAATAAAAGTAGCCGGTGAGTGTGTAAACAAATGTAATAATGTGCAAGCATAGGTATCCAGTACAGTATACAGTACCATGTGAATAGGCAGTGTGGGTATGTACTAACTACAAAAGGTTTGTCCTAAGTAAATGTCCCAGTAGCATACTACATTTTACTGCCTATTTAGATGTGTTATTGCTCATCTACTTTACATTTCACTTGTATTATGTGGCATTCATGTGGACGACAAAGTAAGAATCTCATTGTACAGGGAAAGACGTTTCCTAACTGTGCATATGACAAACACCTTGACCTTGACCTACTGTGTGCAATTTCAACATTTCAGTTCAGTATTTTTATCCAGGATAAAATTTGTTTTAATCACCTGTTTGAACATAGGTTTTTGTATTTTTGTATTCCTAGATAATGAAGTATTCATTAGGAATATAATTGAGGCACTTCTAAGTTTAATAACTGTAATAATCATTGTTGCATCTGTTTCCTTCCAAATGCAGAACTGTGTTTTAACTGTAAAATCTACTTTGTTCGCTGGTAAAACTGTACCACTGCCTTCTCTTGCTCATGAGTTTCGATCGAGCCTCGCCGCAGTCGCCGGATCTCATTGATGGCGTCGATCCCTGAAATCTTCCTGGTTTTCACCAGATAGCAGGCCAGCATGGTCCCCGTTCTCCCATAGCCATGCAGGCAGTGAACTCCCACACTCTAAAGAGGAACAAGGTTACAATAAATTTTACAATGTTTATTTGTGGTTGATTACCAGTAAGGCTTTTCATTGTCTGTGACTTCAAACTGAAGATGTTTGGGCTTTAGACCGTTAGTGGGAAGAAATCATGACAAGTATTCTCACATCTTTTTCAAATTTTTTTTTTTTAGAACAAATGATTAATCGCTTAATTGAGAAAATAACTGGCAGAATAAATGATAAGAGCAATTAGTTGACACCCTTCTGATTACTGGAGAAGAAAATCAGATAAACAACTGACTAGGTTTCAGTAAAAGCCATGGAGCTGATAACCTTTCACAATTGTTATGAGGGTTTTAATAACTGAATGTATGGAACGCATTCCTACACATGACAAACTATTACAGCCTTTTACCTTTTCATTCATGCATGGTGAAGGAACTGCAAGGCTGTTTTTCCCTTTACACTGTTCCAGGGGATCAGTTAATGTCAAATACACCTGATGCCAAATGTTTTAGATTGCAGTACTGCAGCTTGAGAGACAGCTAAACAGACTTGACCCTGGAGAGTCCAGAAGTACTTTATAAGCAGAACCATCCATCACATCACGGTCCATCAAGTATCTGAGCTCTTACCTCCCCCTTGCAGTTGGCCTCATCCACGATAGAGAGGAATAGATCAATCTGACTTGATGAAGGAGGAGTGAAGTCAGCGATCTTGATGTGATGCAGTTGTAGCTCTGGGCATGAGTCGTGATAAGGTGGTTTTCTTTCACTCAGAGAAATCAGGTGTTTGATACCATTGTCCAGCAGATATTGGTAATGACATGGCATCCTGGGCATGGCCATGCCAGCCAGTTTGCCTGGCTCAACCCAGGAAAAGTTGTGTGGAGGAGCGGAGGCCATGGCTTGTTAAACTGAAGAGAGGTAGATAGAGCCATATTTGCATGCATCACTTTGCTGCAGAACCTGATATGCCTTATTAAAAACACTGAAATAAGCAGCAAAACCTGTCAAAGTACGTAGCTCAAACACACACTTTTGGATATAAAAACAAGGGATAAGTCTATTATAAGAAAACTGTTTTAAGCACGACATTTTTAAATAAATATTATCTTTCCAACTAGTTGGGTAATTTAAGTCAAGCGATTGAAAAACCTGTGCAAAATGTAAACACTCACTACAAGAATGACACACTAGCTATACTATAAGGTAGTGTCAGGCTATTTTCTAGCAAACATTAGCATTACCGGCTAGGCTGGATAGTTCAGTGTCTTACTGAGGGATCAGTTTATCAACAGTACATATTAAGCATAGGCCCGATGTATAAATATACTCCGTAACGCTCACCAGACTCCACCTAGTTTTACTGAAGGATTAGTACGATAAGATAAGCATGCTGTGCCAAATTTGTCTAGCCTATATATTAATTTAGAGCCGCTTGGAGATAAAGCTAACTAGCTAACAGCAGATGTCCATATTCATACTACGTTGCGCTAGCTATTAGCTTATGCTAATACATCTATTGGCTAACCATTATCATTGAACACAGCTATCTTAGATCAATGATCCATATATCCCATAAAATATCGGTAAAGTTACTTACAGTACAGGGTTTTTTTGGGCGAAGAAGACTTCTTGTCAAGATGGTGCTACTTAACTTAGCTGAACGTTAAGATAGTTGCTCCCTTCACTGCTGACAGGCGTGAATAAGATAAAACCTCACTGTGCTCACTACAGTAAAAGCAGCTACAAACACCTTATAAAAACAAGGTAACTTAAGTTTGTTGCAATACTAGGTGGGACAGTGCTATAGTTAAGCCTACCCGTCGATCCACCAAGATGGAACGCAGCTGTCATTAATCCGTTCTGAAAAGCAACATGAACTAACCCATTGTTGTCGGGTGGGGTTGAAGTATGAGGATAGGATTAAGAGACTATTTTGATAAAACGAACAGCAGCTCCGTGAAGAGGTATCGCTCTTTTCACTGTTCAAACACAGATTTGACTGCAGACATTTTATCATCATACAGAAATTAAACTATAGCACTAACAGAATAATAAGAATTATAAGATAGCTTGATGAACTCTGTATGTATGTCAGGATGGCCGAGCGGTCTAAGGCGCTGCGTTCAGGTCGCAGTCTCCCCTGGAGGCGTGGGTTCGAATCCCACTTCTGACAGTAACATTTTTTTTAAATATTACTATAGTTATTTCATGTTTGTAGAGAGCTAAATCTTTTCATTCCATCTTTCCATATGTTTCCGCTCCTGAGTATTATCGGTTTTTATGTTTAGTTTTTCCAATATTGAATTAACAACAGTGGTGGAACTGTATTGAGATCCTTTACTTCTTTATGCCATTGCAGTGTAGAGGGACAAATAAGGAATATTGTACTAAAAATAGTGAAACACTGGAAGGTATCTACTTGATTTTTCTAACACTAACACAGACGACTGAAGCCTCATATTAAGTTCAGATACTCTTTGAAATCATTTTTTTACATAAACTGTGGATTTTGTCTCCTAACACTTACAACAAACCTGATTTGGGAACAGATCTCTTCAATGTGTAAAATATCTTATTAATAATCTTTATCCCAGGATATAACTACAGTATGACCCAGAGGTTGTCATATCACAGAAAGGCTCTTACCATGCCAAATCCACAACATTTAAAATGTGTTTCTCCTGCCGCAGAATACCAATGCTCTTCCTAAAATGGAAAATGGTGCATAGATGATTTAACCTGTTAAACCGCCAGAAGCTTGGCTGGAGCCAAGTATCAATGAAAGTCAGACAACTTTACTTGAAACCGTGGTGGAGAGCTTTCAAGGATAGTGGAGAGTTTTCAAGGATGCCAGAAACTAGATTATAGGGTAAATTACAAAGAAATATTTGTGAAATTGTATTTCCATTTCAGACAAACCACAGTGTTATTGTTTCTCAGTCTGAGCACTACACAGCTTCAACTGAGCTTTGAAACATGCAGATATGGGAAATTTAAGGGATACTGTCACAAACTGTGGGGTTTATTTAAATTTCTTTTAGTTTGTGTATAGAAATAATACCTAACATTTGAAATAAATGGAACAATTTGCACACAGTGAGTCCACAAATCCACCTCTTAGTATCTGAAGACTGTGAAAGCTGCTGCTTCATCTTGTTTTTCAACCTGCAATGCACTGTATAAATCTGTCACCAATGTTATTTTAAATTTAAAAGATGTCCACGTTAAATCAATCTTGTTTTAATGTTTTTGGCGCTTCCAGATGGAGGCTGTGTCTTTCATACAATCTCCACATGAAAGCAAGGAGAGAAAACTGTTGTCCATTTCATGCAATAGTTAATAATACAAACACAAACATTCAGAACTCACAGCACAGCACAGTTTACTTGCTAGTCATTTTATACAAATAGTAGAAAGAGGGTTTGTATCTGAAGGAGACAAACTGCATCACATTTGTCAGATATTTGATAGACTTGATTTTTCAGAAACGTATTTGTAAAGAGAATCACAGAGTTGAATGTTTCAAACATCCTGTAAAAAAAAAGCTTTCATAACCTGTTGGTGTTAAAAAACAATAACAGAGCAGTCTTAGTAATCACATAGTTATAGAAAGCTATCTCGGTGATAAGTAAAGTTGAAATAAACATAAACAACTTAAAAAAACATTCCAATAATCAGGTGGCATCTAGTGGTAGGCGTATTTTCATTTGCTGTCCTACAGTGCTCAGCCCACAAACCATTTAAATGAACATCTGGAAGTCCCAAAAGAATCACATTGTTATTTTTATTCTCATTTGTTTTTGTTTTTTTTGTTTTATACACATCACAACCTGAAAAGTTGATAGGCTGACTGGTTGTCCATCACATCTTACCATCACACTCATCAACATCATTTCTTTTGTGTCATCTAAAAGCACAGACCCCTTCAACATGCTGCAACACTGCTCAACAAAGCAATCACAACCCCTTGAATGGTTATATGTTATCTCTGTGGTTTTAATTTTTGCACTCTTTAGGTGCATTGGAGAAAGGGGGCAGTAATTGCCGTGCCTTCCTACATGAAGACTTCTATGTATTTTGAACGTCCATGTTCAAAGTCCCACACTGAGCAGACTGCTGAAGGTGCCACGGCATGTTTACAGGATGGCACAGAAGAACTTCTTCTCCCTGAACGGGTTCTCTGACGCAGGCACCGGCGATAACAGAGGGTCCTCTTTGGCGTGGGCTTCACAGTATGACATTAAGTCCGCCGCAGCTTTTGACACCTGGAAATTAAGCACACGCATGCAAACACATGTCAGTACCAGAGCCCTTAAGATAGAAGAGCTGCAACACTGAGGGGTCACAAATGGCAGCAGGTCACATGGCTCGTAGCTTCAAATAGTTCCAGTCAATTCAGATTTATTGTTTTCTGTAAGGAACAGCAGGATTTATCAGTAAATTACTGCTTCTAATGACTTGAATAGTCTTGCAAACGAATTCTGTTTTGCTGTTAAGGATAGTTCAGCTAATTTGGCAGCTTAGTTAGGTACCTAATATATTAAAGTGACCCAGTATTTGAGGGAGACAGTTTAACAAGTTGTAAAATGTGCATAAATGTTTTGACACATGTTGCTAACTTAAAACCCCAAATCAGAAAAAGTTGGGGCAATATGTAAAATCAAAATTAAAACTGAAAATAGTGATTTGTAAATCATCTGTGTCCTGTATCACATTGAAAACAACTGAAATGAGTGTTTATTTTGAACAAAGAATAAAACTGATGAGGTACCATATCATATAATGTGTTGCTGTGTTGTTTTCAATGCACGTTCAGTGCAAAGTAGATGAAAAACACATCAAGTCACCTTTATCCTGTCAATGTTGGCCTCCATCTTCAGCTGCTCCACCAGCTTCCTGGCTTGTGCAATGCTGGCTGTGTTATTGCTCGCCATTGGCGCTATCAGTCAGGTCTTGTGTGCTGTCTACACAGAAAAGAAAGAACATCCCAAATGCTGTAGTTCACCCACAGTGTGCAACTGGTGGAGATGAGCACTGTAAAGTAGCAGGCATGCAGAGTTTATTATCACATGCCTGTGAATAGGCATGCAAACCACAGACACAGGCATATTATTTATGGTGTCAGTTGCTAGGCAGCCCATGACAGTGAGGGGGAGGCAGAGAAGGTGGGAGGAGAGTGAGGGGGCAGCACTTTGTCCAGCACTATATTTAAAATAGATAAATGGCTAAGGCACATTATTGGTTCCAAAGATAAAAACTCTTATGTTGGACTGAGAACAGTGTTTTTTTTCGAATGTCCACTTCTCAGTCACAGTATCACACAGGGGCAGCGGCCACCTCCTGCCTCGTGTGAGGGACGATAACTCAACAGCCTGGTTTTGTTCGTCTTTGACACAACAAAAAACAGGTCGGTCTATGGAGCCAGAACAATTATGTTAAACTTTGGCACTGAAAAATAAAACTTGGCATTGTGACTAACACGTTCCTCCAACATCTCCCATAGGTGTTCAGCTGGGTTGAGCTCTGGTGACTGTGAAGGTCACAGCATATCATTCACATCATTTTCATCTTCATCAAACCATTCAGCGACCCCTCGTACCCTGTGTGTAAACATCTACTTCCAATATGTTTCGTCCACTGTCTGTTACACTAGTTTGGCATCACCAGTTGTACATGTGCCTTTCCTAACCTCTGATTAAACAGATCAAGCTGCAGGCACTCTAAAACAGCATCATCCTCGGTGTGTGATCAATCCTCCCTGCATCCCCCTCTGTCAACTGTCTGTATGCACCGTGGTATGACTCAGCGTGGGGTTGAGACTGATCTCAGCGAGGTGCCGGAGCTGAGCATGAGTACTGACGCTCCATGGCGGCACACCTGCTCATCAAGCCGGTAACTCCCGCAGGAATCTGGACCCTGCAGACCTGATGGGCTTCATTAATTAAAACAGGGCCACCAGTTAGTCTCATTCACACAGTAATCTGATTTATTCATTTTTGACCACCTTCCACAGCATCTGTGAACAAATAACAGCTGTGAACAGCTAAATCTGACAAAATAATAAATTGATAATATTCCTCATTTCCAGCTACAGTGATGCAACCAGTTTGTTTCCCGTTTCTTACCACACCAAGTACAACAAAGTGTGGTCAATGACACATGGTTGCATTTTAGCACCACAACTATTTGTCAGTTCTTCTGATTATTCATAAGTCAAAAATGATTTTAAAAATGCAAATCACACATTGTCAGAGCCCAGTAACTTATTATTTTTCCTAACAAACGGTCAAAAGGCTCAAAATATGGGGAAGAAAAGCACAACCATCACATCCCAGAAGACAGAACCAGAATGTTCTAGGACTGTTGCACTTGATAAACTGCTGATCTTGACAAGATTTACAGAAAAAGTTTTTGCCCATCAGACTCAAAGCAAAAAGGACAAAAGACACGTGTGGAGCAGTTCTGAGAGTAAACAGACATCTATTATTCCTTGTCATTTTGAGAGTCACTGGAAACAAACTTCACTGTTAAAATAGAGACGGAAGTAAAAAAAAAAAAAAAAAAATCTACCTCATTCCCAATCTTTTAGGGCTGCACACTTCCTCTGAACTGAACAGTGAGATCTGGAGCCAATGTCGGTGCAAACCAACTGACAATCTGAAGAGGATTTATGAGCACAACCTGCAGCAGGCTGCACAGCATTACCAGTGTAACATAAACACTGTGTTGTAGTCAGAGCAGCTGAGGGATCCTGGTTTTTCTCACTCTGAGCACTTTTTCACCTTTTAGGGTTATAATGTTTTAATTCAAACTTGGGTATGTGTCAAAAAACAACAGTGTCAGCTCTTGCAGGAATTCCTTTTTGTACCAGTGAAACCAGTTGACATAGATTATAAAACAAAATGTTACACATAAATAATTGTTCTACTAATTATTACATTATCATGTCTTTCTTCCTAAATGTTGAAATACTGAAGAAAGAGAAGCAGAAAGACATGAAGTAATACCATTCCACCTTGATTACATCAACTGTGGTGATTTTTGCAATACGTCTTCACAACAGACTCCCGGGTCCAGTGCACTGATATGATTGTGAGGTTAAAATACTATAATCTGGGAGCCATATGTCAACTTTCAATCTGCAATATCCTGCTATCCCTGACAGGGTTGTTCAGTGGGTGTCATATTACATGTCAAGTTTAAAACTGAATCACATCATGAGTTCTAATTCTTGCATACTAAACTAAATCCAGGGTAGAAACGTACTACAAGGGGGTAACTGACAAGCAAAAATTAGTCTTTGGTGCATTTTGTATTGAGGCCATAATATAATTTCAAAACTCAAGGGAAACATCAAAACAAGTCAACGTTTCACCAGAAAATTGATGGGGAAAGATGACACCCTTTAAGGTTACTGGGATGTCTACCGAAAAGTAGGGCTTCATTATTTACAGGAAATAATCAGAGACTGTGAGAAAGTTGTCTAGCTAGTGTGGAACTGACAAGGAGACATGATGGTTTATGTAAATATTTTAAAAGAAAATGGAAAACTGTCCCTTAATGGGCTGGAAGGTAAAGGAAAGAAATGCGTAGTTTTGATTTTCTTACCTCTCCAGCAATTCGTTTGCAACTATGCTAGTGACTCTGTGGCTATACTATGACACAGCTCTGCTTAATGTCAGCAAGCTCACATGGCTGAGGTGCTGGATTATTTCTAGGCCAGTAGCAGTTACTTCTGTGTTTCACTTTACTTGTATTTTCAAAACAAATGCAAACACAGACGTGCAAAAGTTTAAATATTAAACAAAATGTTAAGGAAAAGCAATTTAGCACACCTGTGACTGTGTACACACAGTTCTCTTCCTGCTTATTGTCGGTGGAACACATGAAAATGCCATGCTGACATTTTCATATCTAAAGAGGGGGCGAGGAGATGGTGACATGGAGCAGATGCCCATGCATGCGTGTGTCAACTCAAGGAGGAAAAGCTGGAACCTCAAAGCAGCTAAAAGAGCTTAAAATAGATAATAAATGTCACTGTTGCATGTTCTTTTAGCTTCAGAACAACTCATTTCTGATTGTTCTGGGTTTCATTTCAGGATGAAGTTCTACCGCTGCTCTCTGTATCATTGAACCTCTTGTCCTTCCTACCCATCAGCTGCTCTGAATACCACCCTGAGACGCCACACATGGTGTCAACATGCTGATAACTGTGACATCCCAACAGGCACTGATAAATAATGCACTGAGATGGACGCAGGCCTTAACTGTCTCAGCTGTTGACAACTTTGTAGAAGCTGTTGGGTTAAATTCAAAAGCTGTTTGCTGTTGCACTGCTTTTCAAGCAGAGGGAGGGTGCTGTCATCACTGACCACTTATGCTGTGATATTATGAAACTGGCTGGTATTTGCATGCTGGGCCTCAGCCTTGTTATATTGCTACTTCCTCTTTCCTTGACGTACCTTGCCTGCTTACTCCTCCGCACTCTGCCCCAGTGTCTGCCTGCAGCTCAGTCGTCAGCAGTTTGTGTCCGCCCAGTTCTCTGCAAGTAGAGAGAAAATGAAGAAAGCAAAAACGAGTGAGAAGCTCTGCGTGCTTTCATTCTTGCATTTCAAATGAATTGCACCAAAGCTTGTGTGTGTAGCCTCTGTCTTCTGGTCACTGTGTCAGAAAGTCACAATTGGCTCTCACACACACACACACACACACACACACACACACCAGTCCAGGGAAAAAACTGACAGAGAGACAACACAACAGACTACAGAGAAAGTGACGCACAGTCACAGGGACAAATGCTTTATGGCTTTACAGAAATAGTTTGACATCTTGGAAAACATATTTATCCATGTTTTTGCTGAGAGTTAAATGAGAACATGTCTGTAAGGTAAACATGTAACTATAGTCAGCACATGGGTTAACTTAGATTAGCATAAAAACTTACAACAGGAGGAAGCAGCTAGCCTGGCTCAAAGGTTAAGAAAAAGCTCCCATAAAGCTCATTAAATAACAACCTCATTTGTTTAATTCATACACTGTGTAAAAATGACCAGTTGTGGTAACACTGGGATCAGTGATTTTAATGTAGAGAATGTGAAGGTACGTCACACCATGTTGAATGTTAGGATGCGTCATTTTGGGAGGAGGCGCTGTATTTACATGCACACAATCTTGTTTTCTTTGGCTAAAAAGTTGTTTAAATAATTTAGGTCTCACTTTACTGACTGTGGTAATTCAGGATGGATAACCTTAGCTAACTGTAGCTAACTCGTATAGCCGACCCAGAGATCCCATCGACAATAGTAACACACTGACAAAACGACTGCACACTGATCTCAGCTCTTGGTTCTGGAGCTAACGCTGGCTAGCAGCTGTCGGCAGGTCACACAAACAGATGAATCCATTTCTATCCTGTCTGTGCTCAAACTGAACACTAAAGTGGACATTTGGATGTAACTGAAGCATCCGTTGATACTGTATATGTAGCTGTATGTAGATAGTATTTACTTTTGAAAGTTAACTTACAGATGTATGTAGTGTACAGTATATCTCTATGAGGGGCATAGATATAACACGTTCACTAGTGGGCTTTAGGGTCACCAAAGGTCAGAGAAAGGCTAGACATTTCCCCGTGTTGTACCCGGTACTTTTTACCATACTGACTCTGAGAGACGAGACAGTCCAAGTAACTACAAAACAGTGCTGATTTATTCAAAGGATCACAGGTAAAATTAACATTACACGCTCAGGTATCTTGCACCTCCAAACTGCTCGCAGGCAGATG